TGTTAAAATGTTTAATACAAAAATAACTGGTGCACAATTGCAAAAAGCCAACTTTGAAAGCGCAAACGAACTCATAGTACATTATCAAAACATTAAGGCGTGTAATTCTGTACTAGTGTAAATGACTCCACGGTTGGCGCGGTGCGGTGGTTGGGCAACTGGCTTCCGTGCAACGTGTCGCGGGTTCGATTCATTTCATCATTTCATGGAAAAAAAAAACTTTTATTAATAGACAATTATTTTCCAGACATAAGTCTACATCAAGCTGTTAACGCTGAAGAAAACAATTTAAGCAGTGAGTCACTTTTAACTAAATATGCAAATTTATTTAAACAACGTCGGTACAATGACATCGTAACGAATATAAGATCTTTATTCAAAGAGCGCTCTCAATCTGAAGCCAAAGACAAGAAATTAGATGAACTCATATCCGATGCAACATCAGCTTTAGATTCAGTAAAAACTAAATTAGAAAAACTCGATAAAGATGACGTTTTAACTTTAGACCCACAACCAACAGCAAAAGAAAACAGATACAAAAGAAGCATAGACAACGAAACTATAGATGAAGTCAATAGTGCATCTGTGGAAAACGTTACGGAAGCAGAGAGTGACACAACAGAAACCACAGATAAAATAGAAACGATCACAGACTCTATAGAAGTTTTAAATGTTAAAAATGATACTTCAGATCAATTGTTGAATGTTACAAATGACGTTGACGATGAACTTACGCCAACAAGAAGATCGTGGCCAATCGGTGAAGTCGTGCCTCCTTCCAAATATGAAACTGCGCCTCCGATCAGATATGACATCACACCTCTTTCTAGATATGACGTCACGCCTCCTTCCAGATACGAAGTCACATCAAAGTCTAGAGTTGCTGACGTCACTCCTCATTCCACAATTGACGTCGCCCACCATTCTGCTAATGACGTCATTCCTAATCCGAAAATTGACGTTCAGTCAAGAATTAAAGATAAGCTAATATCGTATTTAGAAGAAACTTTCAACGATATTGAAAGAAAAATAAGTCCTTTAACACATATTAAGGCAGCGCTTTCAAACAACAATGAGTACAGAATTGGCTACATAATAGCAAACATAGACACGTTAGCCATAAACCTCAATAAATGGAAAAACAATATGGTGGCTAACCAAGACAGTTGGAGCGAAGAAACGATATTAGATCTATTTGATAAAATTAAGGCCACCAATGGAGTTACAACAAGCCTTATCGAGTCTTTGAAACGACAGTTGCCAGGATCTAAGGAGCTTAATCGATTTACCTAATTCATTTTTTTAAGTATTAAATAAGTAAAATTTAAGATTTTTTCTTTTTGAAGTAATTTTCTTGTTGATACTAGAGATTTCTATCTGTACTTATGACGCTGTTAGAGTTTCCTCGTCGTTGATGACAACTCCGATTGCAGTTGTAGGTTGTAGGGAATAATTCAGACTCCGAAGTTTCTTTAGGTTCACTTGTTTATTTTCCAACTTAAAATTAAATAGATATTTAATTTTTATTATGTCCGTCTGGTAGATTATTTTAAATCATTAGACACGTATTTTTTATTTTCTTACAGAAACGAATACTTTTGACGATATAATGATTTGAAATATCGCGTGACGTCACTTCTATGTACATTTTATACGTAGAAATGACGTTTTAGCCCCCACTCCTCAACTTTGATTCGTTTTATCTAAGTACTGTTTTACTATACGAAAAAAATACGTGTCTAATATGTTATCCTTACCAAACTTACGGACTAATTATATTTTTAATTTTCATACCCTTTCATCATTCCCAATGAAAGGCTACGTTGAGTTATCTGAATAGTACTTTACGTATTTTATGTTAGCCCGGATTCCTACACATTACCACGTGATAGCGACCTTATTACGACTTGTGTACGATTAATTAAAGTTATTAGTTCGATACATTATTCATTATTTATATACGTTATGTGGTGGCCGGGGGGTTTAAGAGGCTCGGTTATCATGCATGAGGGTGCGAGTTCGAAACCTACCAACGGTAAGTATCAATGTGACTTTTTCCGAGTTATATGTACTTTCTAAGATTATCTAGACACCACTGACAAACGGTGAAGGAAAACATCGTGAGGAAACCTGGGCTTATAATTTCTAACTATAATTTTGTAATCGCCAACCCGCATTGACAAGCGTGGTGATTAATGCTCAAACCTTCTCCGTGTGAGAAGAGGCTTTGCTCAGCAGTGGGCATTTAAAGGCTGTTGATGATGATAATCCTTACTTCCTTACTAATATTATAAATTGGAAAGTGAGTTTGTTTGTTTGTTCCGCTTTCACGCCGTAACTACTAAACCTATTGCTTTGAATTTTTGCAGACGTAAATTTAGAAGTCTTGATTAAATAATAGGGTACTTTTTATCCCGGAAAAATTCGATATTCTCGAGGGAAAACGAAATTATTGATATAGATGGCGCTGTGTGTAATGATATATGTCACATAGGCTACTTTTTATCCTTTTGTGACGCGAGCGAAGCCGCGGGTAAAAGCTAGTGATTATATACGTTTGCATTGAATATAAAACCGCTGTATGAGCCGTATGGCTCGTACAGATGTTTCATAATCATTATCATAATGATCCTTCATCATGCGTACAGCCACGTACCGTCCACTGCCTTCCACAGTTCTCACCCAGTGACTATGCATCGCGAGGTTGGTAGCCACCTGCATAAAGCGGTTCTCTGTGTGAGATTGTGGAGGGGAAGAGTAAGGAGGCTCACGTAGTGAAACCCTACGCTTCCGTTGCTTCACGTCCGTTTCCTGCGCGGCCGTGGTATCACTCCGGTCGAGCCGGCCCATTCGTGCAACCATGGCTCTCCTATGCTTAAACATAGTATCACACCTTTTATCTTCCAAGGGGTAGGCAGTGCCACTGTACAATGGAACACCCACTTTTCACTATTTATGTTTTGAGTCCCAGGTAATAGGGGGTGAACCTATTGTCATATACCGGGCACATTTCCAGAGTCCGTGCTACTACTGAAAGTTTTTTAAAAGCCGGTAATCCTTTGCCCGACCCGGGAATCGAACCCGAGATCTCTTGCCCAGCAGTCGCACTTCTACTCTTAAAACTGATTTTATAAATGCATTTGCACACGTAGGGGAGTGCTGAGAGAGTGACAGACTGTACACAGCTGTAACTACTGCGCGTAGCAAGCTGTGTGACATGTAGCGCCCTGTAGGAGTGTAGGGGAGTGCTGAGAGAGTGACTGATTGTACACGGCTGTAACTACTGCGCGTAGCAATGTGACATGTAGCGTGCTGTAGGAGTGTAGGGGAGTGCTGAGAGAGTGACTGATTGTACACAGCTGTAACTACTGCGCGTAGCAAGCTGTGTGACATGTAGCGCCCTGTAGGAGTGTAGGGGAGTGCTGAGAGAGTGACTGATTGTACACAGCTGTAACTACTGCGCGTAGCAAGCTGTGTGACATGTAGCGGGCTAGGGGAGTGTAGGAGAGTGCTGAGAGAGTGATAAATAAATTTAAAACAATTTGAAAATAATATCTTTTATTTTAAACTTTCAGTCTATCATTTAACAAAGTGAAGCCTCTTTAGTAAGAATCTACTTACATAATATGAGCATAACTACAAAGTACCTATAGGCATATAAAGAGGAAGGTAATGTGTCGCAAATTGGTTAAATGAAAAGTCTAAGATAAATTAATAACAATGCAAAATGGGGTGAATTGAATTTGAAGGGTGTATAAAGTACAGACAAGAGCATATAGGTAAATAGTACCTACATATAATAAAACTTCATCCACAGAAAAACGAAAATCTGAAATTCGATATATTGCCTTCCTATATTTAATAACATTGCATAGCTTATAATGTACTTATGTATTGTAGTTTTTTCATGAAAGCAAACGAGGTTGGCAGAAAAGAGTTTGACGCAGTGACAGCTGGAACTAATATATTGACTTGGACTGAATCACCCACTTCGGACCACATCCCATGAATAAACAATCATCCGAACATAGTACCTCCTCTTTTTAAATTCGATAAAAATAACAAATATCAAAACCGGTTGAGTCGTAGTGTACAAAGTTGCCACAGGCAAGATACTAGCGACCTCTATTATTGAAAACTCTTTTTTGCCAAACTGTATAAATATGAACAGTGCCTTTAGCCAAACGCCACTTCAACGCTTGTCTAACGAGAGCTGCAGCAGCTGTAGCCAAATGCCATTTAGCGCTTGTCTACATGTAGAATAGAAAACCAAATTATATGGAATTGACGTAAATTTGACACTTGTCAGTGTCATCTCCATACATTTTTATTTCTACTCTCTCTGTAGACAAGCGCTAAAGTGGCGTTTGTCTAAAGGCACTGGTAAGTAATAGAAAAGAAACTAAATGTACGAGTAAAATGTATTTCATTTATAACGGACATGTAAATCTCCATTCATCATGGATCAATTATGATCTTTAGACGCGTGAGATATTATAGTGCGCAAGTGTGTGCGCAAACACAGATGCACAATCTGTTCCCTCACTCTCTGAACCCGTTGGGACGGCAGCCGACACGACCGGAGAGAGGTCATCAAGACCAACGGCGATACATGCGTTTTAAACACGGGGGTGAAACAGAACGCTCACTCTGGGCTAATAAGGGTTATTTCTGAGACATACTAAAGTAACTAAAAATCGCGGGTCACAAATAGAAAGAAAGAAGGAAAAATCATTTATTTTGCTGCGACACACAACAAGAATTTAGGAACACACAAAAAAGCCTATTGTTCGTCGCAGCGAATAAAGGTTTCATTTCATTTCATTTCATTTCATTTCATTTCATTTCATTTCATTTCATCTCATTTCATTTCATTTCATTTACTCACGTGAATATCCTGGTGTATATCCTGTGGTTCGTAACCACACCGCGCACGCTGCTCATGAGGAAGAACCCCTCTGTGGTTCGAAACTAGTAAAGCTTTTCTCAGTATATTCACGTGAGTAACCCGCAGTTTTTGGTTAAGGGTTATTTCACTTATAATAAGCCATTTTTTGGCCGGCGCAGGAATCGAACCTGCGACATGTTGCACAGCGGCTGCTCACCCAACCACTGCGCCAACTGTGCAGCCAATGGACATGTACTCAGCATTGTACTTATTTATTTTATAGCTTACTCTCTAATCTAAAGATATTCTTACAAGACTTCAAAAAATCTAATTGTTAAGGAATTATCAATTAAATAGACATGGTTAAAGAAAATTCCTCAAAAATGTAGATTGTAAATAACTTAATTGATAAAAATAAACTATTAAAACTTAACATTCTTTAAAGCAGATTGTGATGTACTGTAATATTATTATTTTGTTACAAATACAATTAGAAGCAAAGTAACGGAACCACTAGCGCTTATTTTCATTTTATCGAACCTTCTATAACTTTTAAAAAAATATACCCAGGATCGGCCAATGCATGGGTATTTGGGCATATAATAAGATAAAACACGGAGTCATAATCATCACTAATCCATCTCCTAACTTTATGAAAAATTATAAGATTGTGCGGAACTTTGACGGTTCGTCGGAGATGTCTCGTGCACGCCATTCATAACTGTAGTCTGGTTCAAAAATATGGCGGCGCTGTTGTCGACCTGACGCTCCGTCAGAATGACTTCTGTGACTAGATGTCATCCTAGTTCCAAAACAAATAATAGACGGCGCTGTGGTTACGCCGTTATACCTTTTACAACAAATTGCTCTCATAGTAAAGGTAACTAAATTGTCTTTTATACGACACACGATACCAATTAATAAAATACTTGTATCAGATAATATTTATCAAGAAATGAACTAAAAAAAAACGCTCATGGCTCCGTTTCTTTGCTCCTGAACGTATCCTGCCATTTGCAGAAGTGCCTTTCCGATTATTCCAACGCCAGATTAATAACTGAGGTATAACTTTGAGTATTTGACATATCTTCCATACTAAAACTGTCAAATGTCAATTTCATTTTACAGTTAAAAATTAACTGATGATCGAAAAATCGGTCATTAATGACAAAAATCGGTCGCTAAGTATTGAATATTTTAGATTCACTTTCAGCCTATGTAATAAAATTGATTACAATAATTTTTTTAAGGTGTATACAAATATTTTAATTCTAAATTATTTATATTTATGTTGTATACCCATATTTATTTCAAAAATTGAAAAAAAAAACAACTATGCGACCAATTTTTGTTGTTAAATGCAACTTCCAGAAGAGGGCTGGCCTTGAAAGAACTTATAATTATCTGTGATCAAAAGAAGATTTAAAAAAAAAACTGTCAAACTATCGCGCCAAAACAGATTAAAGCCTCTTTGGCGCCATAGATAAAAAATCCAACAATAACAATCAAATTAAATATTTTAAAAATTTAACTCTGCTTTTTTTAAATAAAAATTCTATTATTATGCTATATTAATAGTACCTAATGATATGATCTAAATTAGAATTAGAATTTTAAATATAGCTATTAATTTTATCGCCCTCTATTGGAAACTTGTGATTTTCTGTGTGATTGCATTATTGTGTCCAGCACTACTGACGCGGCGTTCACTTTACTGCATCTGTGGATTGGAGAAAATAGAAAAAAAAATTAAAAACATAATGTCTATTTCTATACCGTGACCGTAGATGGAGTATTAACTGAAGTTAGATAAGTTTAACACAGATCGGACTGAGTTTTTGATATAAGAACCCATAGTTATATTTGTTTGTCTGACTTTTTTTGACTGCCTCATTGGCCGACTGCGGGGCAAGGCGTCTCGGGTTCGATTCCCGGGTCGGGGAAATTAAAACTGGGTTCTTAGACAAATCTCAGTAGTAGCACGGAGTCTGGAACTGTGCCCGGTATATGGCAATAGGCTCACCCTCAATATGTAATTCTCTTCGGGACTCTTAACATAAATAGTGAAAAGTGGGTGTTACATTGTACAGTGGCATTAGGTGCTGTAATATGTAATTTGCATCCTTCGGGGATAAAAGGCGTAATCTTATATTATGTTGTATAAGTTTGTGGATAAGTTTAACACGGTTTGGACTTCTTTAATAATTATAATTATCTTTGGTTTGGACTGTGTTTTTGATATAAGACTCCATGAATATTTTTGTTGGTAATGTTATTCTGCATGACTCTTTCCACGCCCGATCAACTGCCGGGAAATTGGAAAGTGAGTTTGTTTGTTTGTTCCGCTTTCACGTCGTAACCACTAAACCGATTGCTTTGAATTTTTGCAGACGTAAAGTTAGAAGTCTGGATTAAATAATAGGGTACTTTTTATCCCGGAAAAATTTGAAATTCCCGAGGGAAAACAAAAGTATTGGTATAGATGGCGCTGTGTGTATCGTTATATGTCACATAGGCTACTTTTTATCCTTTTGCGACGCGAGCGAAGCCGCGGATAAAAGTAGTTAGGATATAATTGAAATTATTTGTATAATGAGCGTCTCTCGCCATCAAACGTCAAGTTTGTGCGAGTTTAGATTGAAGGCCATACCTATATAAAATTTTAATGTAGAAGTGTGGTAGAGCCATGTTTCGGCACGAATGGGCCGGCTCGACCGGAGTGATACCACGGCCGAGCAGAAAACCGACGTGAAGCAACGCTTGCGTTGTGTTTCGTCGTGTGAGTGAGGTTACCGGAGGCCCAATTACCCTCCCCTTCCCCAATCTCCCCAATTCCTGAATTCCCAACGATCCTCAAACTTCTAATCCCCAAAAGGCCGGTACCGCACTGGTAACGCCTCTAGTGTTCCGTGTGTCCATGGGCGACGCCTATTGCTTACCATCAGGTGATCCGTCTGCTCGTTTACCGGCTTATACCATAAAAAAAACAGCCATAAAAAAAATACCTACTTGGGTTATTGTCATTTACTACTTACCTAGGGAACATATTATTACACTTCAGCTCAGTCCAGCCAGTCAGTACTTCATATAACAGCGTGTCGAGCGCCTTATTTGCTGCCAACTCCCCAGTTAGCATTCTTAGGGCGACCCTGAAATTAAAAAATATTTTATATAGGTACTTAATTACAAACTTATTGGACACTAACTGTGCCCGCGACTTCGTTCGCGTGTAATAGTGATTTACTCCGCGTACCCCGTAGGTGATAGCGTGATAATATGTAGCCTATATGTTGACCCGAGCTGTTAGTAATAATCATACAAAATTTAACTATTCAATCCCCAAGCGGTCACCGACGACCGCTCTCCGCTAACTCCATTATAGACCTTATTTCCAATGTTTAGAGAGTACTTTTGTATGAAATTTTGGGTTTGATCTAATGAGGTTAAATGTTTGAGGATTAAAGTAAATCAATGCAGTACTTTTTGAGATCATCCCGGACATACAAACAGACAAAAATTCTAAAAACTATATTTTTGGTTTCGGTATCGACTGTAGACTACGCCCCAAGTATTCTTAAAAAAAAAATAATGAACAGTTTTGACTTTTCTACGATTTTATTATATGAACTGGCTATGTGTAAAGCAGACAGATAACGACCGCAGCGCACAACACGGCAGAAATTGGAAACAAATGCGGATGGTCAGCTGTCAAATGTATTGATTGCAGTACAAAATCAAAGCAAAGAAATGGACCATGGCTCATATTAAGTAGCTCTGGCCGTTATGTCACAGTTCTTCCACATTTCTTACATGCTCGGCTAACACTTATTTATTGCCTTTTGTCTCGGTTTGTGGTTGGAAACTAATATTATGTACAATAGTTTCAAACCCGGTTTTTATTATTATATTCACTTTACAGTAAAACTATTGAATAAATTGCACTTAAATAATGTCAACAATGCTATTTTAATTTTTGGTTTTATTTATATTTGCAAAGAAAATTATAATGTTTACATTGTTATTATTTGACAGCTTCCGCAAATGTTGTAAACGCTACGCGTCGCCACCGTCGCGCACATAGTCAATAGAAGATAGAAGATATTATTCACAAGAGCGAACCATTAACCACTTGACTTAAAACTTTCAATTTCAAATTTCGAAAGATCATGTTTTTCGATTGCGGTCGGCCACGTCATTGGATGTGAGAATAATATCGACCAATGACGGATGAGTAAGCGACCAAGCTCTCTTTGAAAATTCGAATTGACAGTTACGAAATTTACAGATATATTCAACACTAGCTGTACCCACGATTTCGTCCGCGTGGAACAGTGATTCGCAGCACCTCCCCCGTAGGTGGTAGCATGATAATATGTAGCCTATACGTTGACCCGAGCTCTTAGTAATAATCATACAAAATTTGAAGTAAATCAATGCAGTACTTTTTGAGATCATCCCGGACATACATACAGACAAACAGACAAAAATTCTAAAAACTATATTTTTAGCTTCGGCATGGCTTGTGCACGCATCAAGCATTCTTTAAAAAAAATATTCAAAGTGCAGATTTCACTTTCCTACTATTTTAGGTACTACACTACTATTTCAGATAGATGTATTCATGGTTGTATCTACTGTAGATCCTGGCTTACAGGAGTCGCAGTGGTTGGGAGGTTGTGGCACACTCGTTCCAATAAAAAAGATGTTTTCAACCGATTATTATTTATAACATGCTTTTTTTTGAGGGGGGAAAATCATCCAATGACTTCTCCCGCCCGGCAGAGGCGAGAGGGAGTGTCAGACTCTTACTGACTAAAAACCACAACGTTCCTACTCCTGCACTTAACGCCGGAGCCTCGGCAACCCGTTAAGTCTTCCGCGGCTCCGTATTGGCATCAGCCCTATTGGGCCCCATCTGTTGTGGTCTGATGGCTCCTTGTGGCGCGTGCGAAACGCTCGGCGCCGTACGCTCGGACCTGGTTCTGGTCGGGCGGCGAGTTACCCGTGCTCGCCGTCCGTAGGCCCGTGCTTACGGTATTTATAACATGCTGTGCTCCCAACAGTGTTGCCGTAGGTAAACCTATGATTAAATATTTTAATTGTTTCGTCAGGTGTAGCTTATTATACGGACCTTGTGCAATCTAGAACGAATTTCCGTGCGTTTAGGCGTTTTTGTCATACCTATTATTGGAAGCAAGTATAACAGCTCACACATAGAACCCACTTAGTTTTTAGTCAAATTTCCGTGGTGCTTGGCGACTGGGCTTCACCCAGTTGTACAGTCTCTTCTTTTTGCCTTTACGCTTAATTCATTCTGACTCCTGCAGTAATTCACCGAGAGAAGTGGAAACTATAGTTTTTTTCTTCTTCTCCTCTTATAATATCTTCTGATTCACTTCGTTGCGGGAACCAAGACAGTTACTCATGCCCCTGGGACTTCAGTGTTCCGGTGTTTTCATGGTTGTATCTACTACAGATCCTGGCTTACAGGAGTTGCAGCGGTTTTGGGAGGTTGTGGCGGGCTTGTCCCGTAAAAAAACAATGGCCGGCTCGACCAGAGTGATACCACGGCCTCACAGAAAACCGCCGTGAAGCAACGCTTGCGTTGTGTTTCGTCGTGTGAGTGAGGTTACCGGAGGCCCAATTACCCTCCCCTTCGCCAATCTCCCCAATTCCTAAATCCCCAACGATCCTCAAACTCCTAATCCCCAAAAGGCCGGTAACGCACTTGTAACGCCTCTGGTGTTCCAGGTGTCCATGGGTGACGCCGATTGCTTACCATCAGGTGATCCGTCTGCTCGTGTACCGGATTATGCCAAAAAAAAATCTAACCCATTTATCCTGGCCATAGTCCCGTATGGCGCGTTTAATTTCGTAGTTGCAGCTAAATTTCTACAGTACAGCAACCATACGCAATCCAATTCCGTATAAAAACTTCCGTTGCTGCCAACATCGTGGGTGCTGTCAAATGACGTCTGCAAATGGTTTAGCGCGTGAGTGTTGCCATCGATGTTTCGCGACATTTGATTCTGAATGCTGGCCGCTTGCTGTTCCTTGTTCGAAATTTGATTGAGAATGTTTCTGAAATAGATATTTTGAAATCGATTAATTTTATCAGACTATAAAAGTAATGCCTCGTTGGTCAAGTGGTTGCAAGTACCACTGCCGCGCAAAGGGTCTTGCCATTCCCGGGTCGGGCAAAGTATTACTGGGTTTTTAATGAAAATCTCAGTAGTAGCACGGAGTCTGGAATTGTGCCCGGTATATGGCAATAGGCTCACCCCCTATTACATGGGACTCAACATAAATAGTGAAAAGTGGGTGTTACTGTACAATATAGACACGTTAGGTGCCGTAATGTGCACCTCTGTCTACCCCTTCGGGGATGGGACTCATAGCGCTGATGCCCGATACGAAGCCGTGGAAGGCCGGTTTGCCGGGGCTTCGGTTGTTTTTATTATATGACTAACTTAATTTTAGTATTTTTTCAGCAAATTTTAAAATAATAACTGTACTGTTTGACGCTAAAAAAATGTAACGTGACGTCACAATACACAATCTCGTACAAAATTCATAGAAAACTGTCGTTTTTGACAGTTCGAAAAAAGTATTGAATTTGACTAGTTGACAAGTACATAAAAGTACCTATGTCATCATCATCAGCCCATTTTCTTCCATCGACGGCTACAAAATAAGTTTTTCTAATTGAAAATTAAGCTATGACTACCTCAATGGCCGAGTGGTCGCAAGTGCGACTGCCGGGCAATGGGTCTTGGGTTCGATTCCCGGGTCGGGCAAAGTATTACTGGGTTTTTAATAAAAAAATCTCAGTAGTAGCACGGAGTCTGGAATTGTACCCGGCAATAGGCTCACCCCTTATTACATGGGACTCAACATAAATAGTGAAAAGTCTGTGTTACTTCTGTGTGCACCTCTGCCTACCCCTTCTGGGATAAAAGGCGTGATGTAATATTATGTAATTAAACTTACTTTGTATTTTTGTAAGCTCGACCAAGATGTATGGCTGCGCGCGCAGTACTCATCCCCACTTCCATTATATTTTCCAATAGGTTCTTTCCAATATCCAAATCTTCAATAGGATCTTGACGAGGGTTCAACCGTTTACTGAAAAAGAATATTTTTTTTTTAATAGCATAAGCCGGTAAACGAGCAGACGGATCACCTCATGGTAAGCAATCGGCGTCGCCCATGGACACCTGGAACACCAGAGGCGTTACAAGTGCGTTACCGGCCTTTTAGGGATTAGGAATTTGAGGATTGTTGGGGATTCAGGGATTGGGGAGATTGGGGAAGGAGAGGGTAATTGGGCCTCCGGTAACCTCACTCAGACGACGAAACACAACGCAAGCGTTGCTTCACGTCGGTTTTCTGCTCGGCCGTGGTATCACTCCGGTCGAGCCGGCCCATTCGTGCCGAAGCATGGCTTTCCCACACTTATAGGACTGTATGCACGGTTGGCGTGGTGGCTGGGGACCTGGCTTCCGAGCAACGTGTCGCGGGTTCGATTCCCGCACGGAACAACTCATTGTGTGATCTACAGATTGTTCTTCCGTGTCTGGGTGTCATGTGTATGTGAACTTATATGTTTGTAAACGCACACACGACACAGGAGAAAATCCTAGTGTGGGCTAAGTATTTAAAATAATAAAAAAAATGAAAACTTATAGGATTCATTATGGTACTTACAGGAATAATGAGCCATCGTGAGGGATTTCATTTTGTTTCATCTCAACTTTACTGGGGTCCAAAAAGAGGGCGTTGAACGCAAACACGTCTGGATCCTGCATCATCTTAGTCCGAGCTAGTTCCTGGAATTGTTTATAACGATTTATAATTATAGAAAAATCCAGTTTAATATTACTAGCTACTTCCGCGGTTTCACCCGCTCTGCTCGGCTCCTATTGATCGAAGAGTGATATTTTTAAACCTTCTTCGATAAATCCACTCATCATCAACAGCCTGTGTTCGTCCACTGCTGGACATAAGCCTCTCCAATGGCACGCCACTGAGCTCGGTCTTCAGCTCTATGCATCCAACCACTACCAGCCACTTTACGTATATCGTCTCTCCACCTAGCTGGAGGGCCCCCTACACTACGTTTGACTAGACGCGGTCTCCATTCTAGAACACGTCTACCCCAACGGTCATCGGTTCTTCGACAAATGTGACCGGCCCACCGCCATTTCAGCTTGCTAATCCTTTGGACTACATCGGTAACTTTAATTCTCTGTCGGATCACCTCGTTACGGATCCTATCTTCAGAGAGACTTCGAGCATAGCCCTCTCCATAGCTCGCTGCGCCACCATTAAATTGGTGGACCAGTCGCACTGCTAGTGTGCACGTCTCGGCTCCGTATGTCATGACTGGTAGGACGCACTCGTTGAAGACTTTCGTCTTCAGGCTTTGCGGTAGAGTTGACGAAAAGACCCGATAGAGTTTCCTATATGCCGTCCAGCCAAGCTGTATTCTTCTACGAGCCTCCCTCTCGAAGTTTTTTCTATCAAACTGTAGTGATAAATCCACTATCTAACAGAAAAATAATCATTCAAATCGGACCAGTAAGCTCCTGAGCTTGGCGCGTTCAAACAAATAAGATCAAAAGTGAAAAATGGTGATACCAACCTGATTCTCCCAGGCCATCAGCTGTATATTATGTAACAACATTACGTCAAGCGTCAGTATGCCGAACGATAACAAATCAGTGCTATTATTAGTAACAATTATTTTTCTACTGCTATTCAAATTGGTATAATTTTCACCAAAATACATGTCCCTTAACTTATGCATAACGATCGTTACATTGCCCTCGACTAAGCTTTCGTTTAAGGCTTTTAGAAGGGAACCGAAATCGTTGTCCTTCCTCGTCTGGTTCACTGTGATGTCCGGATCTGTTGAGACCCAGTCGTGTAATTCTTGCACTTTTTCAATCAAATAACTTGTCATCGAGTTACTTTGCATATAATCGTCGTAGAGGTTCTCGTCGTTGTAGAAATAGTCGTCTTTGCCTGTAATAAATAATACATTTGTTTTTAAGCGACTTCTAAAAAATCTAGGTATTAATCATGTGTATGCGAAGTTGTATGTTTGTAAACGCACTCGCGACATAGGAGAAAATCCTAGTGTGGGGCAACGTTTAAATAAATTGTTTTGTTTGTGTGAACACGATAATGTTAGGATGTGGACACATCTGGTAAATGCGCAGTTCGCAGATTTGCGTGTGTTACGGCAATGGTTTGGCACGCATCCTTAGCGCCACACATGCAAGACTGGTATAAGGCTCGCAAGCGCTTCGCGAGCTGCGCACGATCTGCGCGCACTCAATTTTCACGCTGTGCTTTACATAGGCTGCGGGCCCGTAACCACGACAGGCGCAGGTGAAAACCGCGTCGTGAGTCCTAAGCTTAAGTTTGTGAGAGGCACGAGAAGCAGACGGCACAAATGAGGTGTACCGAGTGAGCATACGCGCCGCTTGCGCTGATCACATAGGGCGTTTAGGTTCCACGAACAGCGCGCGAGGGGCGCACGAACAAAAATACACGCGCGCAGCTCGCGAGCTGCGCATTCGCCAGATGTGGACGCACCTTTAGGAACACCGTCCGAATAGAAAATTTCTTTTTACGATCTATACGAGCCGAGGTGGGTGCTTACTCCTGAAATCAATCTCAATGTCAATGCAATTTCAATCCAATAAAATCTCAATAATTATTCAATGTCAACACTACACAACCACAATCGTAGCTGTTACAATAGCATTCAGAGTACGGAATATAAAGACAAACTCAATACCACGCAATACGGATGCAATGGGCACTGGTGTTGCAACTCAAGAGTACGAAGTTTGACAATACCAATGTCGATTGATCGGTATTGGATTCAAGAGTAAGCCCCCTGAGCGGTTAAAACCGGCCAAAATCGCCCAGAACTAGCTAGTTAAGATACCAAAGCATTCACTGAAGTGTAAGAAACATTTTTCTGAAACCCTTATATAAATCGGTTAAGCCAATCGCGAGGTACTTGCGCCCAAACATATTTAGATCAAACTGAGACCTCTTATTTTTGAATTTGGTCAGAAATAAATACATACATACCGTGTTTTTATAATAACTACAGAGAGAGAGACATACTAAATTAACTAAAATCACGGGTTACTCACGTGAATATACTGAGAAAAGTTCTACTAGTTTCGAACCACAGAGGGTCGCGACATCGCCGCGACCGCGCACGCTGCTCATAAGGAAGAACCCCTCTATGGTTCGAAACTAGTAGAGCTTTTCTCAGTATATTCACGTGAGTAACCATAACATAACATCACGCTTTTTATCCCCGAAGGGGTAGGCAGAGGTGCACATTATGCCACTGTACAATGTAACACCCACTTTTCACTATTTATGTTATGAGTCCCATGTAATAGGGGGTGAGCCTATTGCCATATACCGGGCACAATTCCAGACTCCGTGCTACTACTGAGAATTTTGTAAAAACCCAGTAATACTTTGCCCGACCCGGGAATCGAACCCGAGATCCCTTGCCCGGCAATCGCACATGCGACCACTCGACCAACGAGGCAGTCAACGTCAACGCCAACGTGAGTAACCCGCGATTTTAATTAACATACATACCATCTAAATATCCATACGGAATTTCCGCATCAATGCTTTTTCCGAATCCAGGCAGCAATGGCTTGAAATTTGGCACAAAATCATTGACTGCATTATTTTGTTCTATAGTATCATTCACTTTAGACTTGTCAGCTAAAATATTATTATTAAATTCTTGTATGTCATTTTTATCGGAGTCCAAATCATGTGTGTCAGTCATTAGACCACTTTCTGGTTTATCCTTCTTCTTGATAGGTCTCTCTTCATGAATAATATCGTCGTGTATGGGGTGAATTTGGGTCTTCGACATAAGACTCTTATGGTCCCTGTTAGGGATTACATTTTTGAAAATTGATAGCTTTTCTAACACAGCCGTGTCTTCTAAGCGCTGTACCTGTTCCTGATATGTTGTTGGCTGATGTTGTTCTGTGAGAATAGGTTCCTGAAAGATGAAGATCATAAAAGTTAAACTCAAAATCATTTATTTAACTCGTCGAGTACCGGTTTTGTAGACACAATTATAGAACAATAGGTTGCGGTCATCGGTGACCGCTTGGTGTTTGACAGTTTAAATCGGGTCTACCGTATTTTGTGATCCAGATGACATAAATGTAGCAAGATGGTTTTATGTCTTTATAGTTAATAACTATTTTGAGACATACTTTGATGCTTTGCAGCCTACTGTCACCGCTGCCGCACATGCTGCTCATGAGGAAGTACCCCTCTGTGGTTCGAAACTAGTAGAGTTTTTCTCAGTATATTCACGTGAGTAACCCGCGATTTTTGTTAATGAAGAGGTTTTTGTCCAATAACCGCAGCTACCAAATGTTGAACGTCTACTGATGTAACACTAACTAATTCACTATTGGACGAAGAACGAGAGGTTCACATTAGAACCATTTCGTGCGTAAAAATACGATAGGCCCCATTGATGCTCCATAGTCTCTGTCTACCCCGGTGGGACAGGGGTGAGGTTTTTTTTTTTTTTTTAAGGGGGGAAAATCATCGAATGACTGCTCCCGCCTGGGTGAGGCGGGAGGGAGTGTCAGACTCTTACTGACTAAAAACCACCCCGTTCCTTCTCCTGCACGTCGAGCCGGAGCCCCGGTTACCCGTTAGGTTCTCCGCGACTCCGAATCGGCATCGGCCCTATTGGGCCCCATCTGTGGTGGTCTGATGGCTCTTTGAGGCGCGCGCGGAACCCGACGCGCCGTACGCTTGGGTCTGTTTCTGGTCGGACGGGGAGCCACCCATGCTCGCCGTCCGCAGGCCCGCGCTTACGGTGGCCGGAGATCGTAGGGGTGAGGTTAAGTATGTATGTAGTATGGCGTTTCTTGCTCGTTCTCCTTCAGTCTACACCTTGGAACGAGCACTTAGCTTCACTGATGCTTCTATATCATAGTTACTCACTGGAGACTGGAACACTTCTTGTGTGGTAAAGGTTTCAGATGTATCCCATTTGGTGATCACCACTGTGGCCAGGACGAGTGCCGCGCAGACGGCGAAGCATGAGGCACTGGCGATGATCCACACTTTCAGAGGAACCTGAATATATTGATTTATATTAACCGACTGCCGTTGGCCGAGTGGTCGCTAGTGCGACTGCCGGACAAAGGGTCTCGGGTTCGATTCCCGGGTCGGGCAAAGTATTACTGGGTTTTAAAAAAAAACTCAGTTGTAGCACGGAGTCTAGAATTGTGCCCGGTATATGGCAATAGGCTCACCCCTTATTACCACCACCTCCAGGCTCACCACTTTTCACTATTTATGTTATGAGTCCCGTGTAATAGGGGGTGAGCCTATTGCCATATACCGGGCACGATTCCAAACTCCGTGCTACCATTGAGATATTTTTTAAAAACCCACCCTACCCCGACCCTTTACCCGACCCGGGAATTGAACCCGAGACCCCTTGCCCGGCAATTGCACTTGCGACCACTCGGTCAACGAGGATAACTTTGAATATTTGACAATTTTATTCTTCCATACTAACAACTGTCAAATGTCAATTTTATTCGACAGGTAAGAATTAAGTGATGATTGAAAATTCGGCCATTATCAACCAATAACACACAGAAACATAGAAGTCCAATGCGTCACAGTACACAAATTACTCTGAAGATATCAATATCATATCCTTACTAATATTATAAATCGGAAAGTTTGTTTGTTTGTTTGTTCCGCTTTCACGCCATAACTACTTAACCGATTGATTGCCTTGAATTTTTGCAGACGTATAGTTAGAAGTCTGGATTAAATAATAGGGTACTTTTTATCCCGGAAAAAAATTATATTCCTGGGGGAAAACAAAAGTATTGGTATAGATGGCGCTGTGTGTATTGGTATATGTCACATTGGCTTTTTATCCTTTTGTGACGAGAGCAAAGCCGCGGGTAAAAGCTAGTATTAAATAACTGACAATTTAAAAAAGAGGGGTTGAAGTCGACCTTTATAGACGTAGATTCATTTTATTATGATATGTCATATAACGTCGTGGTGGCCCGGGGGTTTAAGACGCCCGTTTCTCATGCATAATCATATGAAAAACGACCTGAACCAACGCTTGCGTTGTGTTTCGTCGTGTGAGTGAGGTTACCGGAGGCCCAATTACCTTCCCCTTCCCCAATCTCCCCAATCCCTCAATCCCCAACGATCCTCAAACTCCTAATTCCCAAAAAGCCGGTAACGCACTTAAAACGCCTCGGTGTTTCAGGAATCTATGTGCGGCAACGATTACTTACCACCAGGTGATCCGTCTGCTAGTTTACCGGCTTATACAATAAAAAAAAAATATTTAGACACAACTGACAAACGGTAACGGCTTATCAATACATAGTATAAAACAAAGTCGCTTTCACTGTATGTCCGTATGTATGCTTAGATCTTTAAAACTACGCAACGGATTTTGATGCGGTTTTTTTTAATAGATAGAGTGATTCTTAAGGAAGGTTTGTATGTATAATACATGCATATTGCACCCGTGCGAAGCCGGGGCGGGTCGCTAGTAATTTCTAATTATAAGTTCGTAATCGCTAACCCACATTGAGCTAGCGTAGTGATTCATGCTCAAACCTTCTCCGTGTGAGAAGAGAGCTTTGGTCAGCAGTGGCCACTTATAAGCTGCTGAGCAAAGCAAAGCAAAAATTAAAAGTCAAGGGAGCTTACTCTTGAATCCAATTCCGATTGATCGACATTGGTATTGTGAAATTTCGTACTCGAGTTTCAACACTAGCGCCCATTGCATCCGTATTGCGTGGATATTGGATGAACTAAATGGTATTGAGTTTGACTTTATATTCCGTACTCTGAATGCTATTGTAACAGCTACGATTGTGATTGTATAGTTTTTGATATTGAATAATTATTGAGATTTTATTTGATTGAAATTGCATTGACATTGAGATTGGTTTCAAGAGTAAAGCACCTAGGTTACCTCACGATGTTTTCCTTCACCGTTTGTCAGTGGTGTCTAAATAATCTTAGAAAGTACATATAACTCGGAAAAAGTCACATTGGTACTTGCCGTTGATAGGTTTCGTGCCCATACCCTTATGTATGAGAAGCGGGCTTCCAAACCTTCGGGCCACCACGACACATATTGCCGTACAGTACCACTAGACAATACAAATTAGTTGGGGTCATTGATATACAAAAACATATGTTAATGTGAGGGCTATAAAATGCAAATTACAAAAATACTAACAATAGTTTTATCCGGGACTCGATGTATGACAGTCGGTCTTGGTGGTAATGGACGGCGAGCGTTCGGCATACGATCGGGAACATTCGGGTATCTTCGGCTCCAGTCTGTAGTCACGGTCGTGGCACTCTCGCATGACACTGACGACGGCGGCCGCTTTTCATACTCGTATTGAAACATTTTCTGAAACAGGTATACATAGATTACAATAGGGATGATGACAGGGTATGAAAATTAAAAATATAATTAGTCCGTAAGTTAGGTAATGAAAATATATTAGACACGATTTTTTTTTTATTTTGTCGTATAATAAAACAATACTTAGATAAAACTAATCAAAGTTTAGGAGTGGGGGCTAAAACGTCATTTCTACGAATAAAATATACATAGAAGTGACGTCACGCGACATTTCAAATCAATATATCGTCGAAAGTATTCGTTTCTGTAAGAAAATAAAAAATACGTGTCTAATGATTTAAAATGATCTACCAGACGGACATTAAAATAAAAATTAGGCATCTACCCTATTATATATGGTTGTGTAAATGGAAAGCTCTCGAAACACTGACTAAAAGAAATAGTTTTTATAACTTTACTCGTTTTTGTATGACATAAAAAAAGACATTTATTACCTCCAAGATAATAATGAGTTTTATCAGTATTTAATCGACTTCAAAAAAAGGAGGAGGTTACATTTTATATAGCGGAGAATCTTAACACCGCGATGCACAAAAATGACGTTACTGCACAACTCCATCTATGGTGGGACGCGGGGAAACAATACGCTACGTGGCGTTGCACAAATGTGCTGCCATCTATATTAAATGCGTGTTTACATTTGCAACTGAACACTGATTTTTTTGAAGTCGCGGAGAACCTAACGGGTAACCGGGGCTCCGGCTCGACGTGCAGGAGAAGGAACGGGGTGGTTTTTAGTCAGTAAGAGTCTGACACTCCCTTCCGCCTCACCCAGGCGGGAGAAGTCATTCGATGAATTCCCCCCTTAAAAAAACACTGATTTTGAAAGAAAGAAAGAAGAAAAAAAAATAATTAATTCGCCAGTTGGCACCCCTTTTTCTTTTTAAGGGGGAAAATCATCGAATGATTGCTCCCGCCTGGGTGAGGCGGGAGGGAGTGTCAGACTCTTACTGACTAAAAACCACCCCGTTCCTTCTCCTGCACGTCGAGCCGGAACCCCAGTAACCCGTTAGGTTCTCTGCGACAGTTGCCACCCCTGCAGTGACGTACGATCTACAATGGTAACAAACGATTGTAACCATTTTAGTCGTTTCATTTCGAAACAAATTAAATAAAATTACACAAATTGCTCACAACGATCATCTTAGCGTGAAATCAGATCCACTTATGTCCGTGAGAAACGGTAAAAAATTGTCACATATCGCCGTAGGAATCTCGACCTTAAGACTGCGGCTTTTAGTCAATGGAATCAGGGAAACAATAAGCGAGTTTGAACCTTATTTAGTTTACTATCTGTTGTCCGCGACTTCGAATTCGCGTGGAATTGTGATTCACAGCTCCTCCCCCGTAGATAGTGTGATAATATGTAGCCTATATATTATAAAATTTGAACTAAATCCACGCAGTACTTTTGGAGATCATCCCGGACATACATACAGACAAACAGACAAAAATTCCAAAAATCATATTTTTGACTTCGGTATCGATTGTAGGTAAATCACGCCTTAAGTATTCTTTTAAAAAAATATTCGATGTACAATTATGACTTTTCTACGATTTTATTATAATATTTATGTATAGATAGATATTTGTTATTTTTATCGAGTTTAAAAAGAGGAGGTATTATTAACTAAACATTTTTTATTTATTTATTTAATCCAATTACTTTGCCATTACAGATAACTTAACCTAATTCGACATAGTAACTTAAAATATGCTTCCTAAACTATTAACTATATTTAACTATAAACTTATTAAAATGTTAACTGCAGACTATATTTCCTTACACACTATAGAGTAACTCGCTCAGTGTACAGTTAAATATGTCTACGACATCTAATGATGAGTTACTCACGTAAATATATTGAGAAAAGCTCTACTAGTTTCGAGTTACAGAGGGACTCTTCCTCATGAGCAGCGTGCGCGGTCGCGGCGATGTCGCGCAGCCCACTGCTACTGCCAATAGGCTACTTTTATCGGTACATTTAGCATGTCTCACGATATTTATCATAAAAAGAGGGGGTGCTATGTTTTTTTTTATAATATTACAGATTAATTCTCCACGGACTCTAGGTCCGCACGGACTACGGACCCTTGTCATACATTTTTTTTTATTATAATACATTTAGTCAATTTTTATAAAGTAAAGAGGGAACCTAGTTACACACTACAATTAACTACATCTATAATTATTACCAAAAGTATAAATTACATAATAATTAGGCATTATCTATTTATTTCTATTTCGAAGGCTTCATGAAATCAGCCCACCAATAAGATGGGAGAGCCGACCTGACCCAGCAGAAGGCACCCGTTCACGAGTATGACGTGTGTGTCAGCAATTTGGTCCGGTCAACCTTTTTATTGGGAACGGAACAACCCAACACACAGCCTTAACCCTTGCCACGTTGGCCGATTCCAATAAAGCTTACAATAGTCCAAAGTCAATTGGGTATTTTCTATTTCTACATGTTTCTGCATACACATTTGCACTGCATAAAATACTGGGGTACTATGTTCGGATGATTGTTTATTCATGGGATGTGGTCCGAAGTGGGTGATTCAGTCCAAGTCTATATTAGTTCTAGCTGTCTTCTTCTTTCTGACTGGATTTAGGTGTTGCATTGTTCTCACATAATCGAACCAATAAAACTATGTAACTAGAGAATTGTATTGTAAACCTGATTGAAAAAGAGTAACCTATGGAGTTTCTTGCTCGTTCTTCTCCATAGGAATCTACGCCTTGGAATGAGCAACTAGCTTCACTTATAAATTTTTGTTGTTTGACGTTCAAAAGTGCCATCCTGGTCTAATTGAAATAAATGATTTTGACTTTGACTGTCACCGCGTCGAACTCTTCTTTGCCAAGTTGTTGTCGTTGAGTAAACGTAAACAATCTCACGCGCCACATACAAGACGGCTTGGTATTTATTATGCTCTGATAAATCCTACATATGATATTATCTCTTATATCCGGGTGGGGTCAATGACACGAATACTACAGTTGGTTTTTTATTGTAAGCCTGTAAACGAGCAGACGTATTACGCTCATGGACATCCCAAACTTCAGAGGCGTCACAAGTGCGATCAGGAATTTGAAGATTGCTGGGGATTAAGGGATTGAGGAGATTGGGGAGAACGATGTGTGTATGTTTGAATAACAAACATATACACATACTCACAGTTTTTGCATTTATAGTAAACTAGCTGTTCCCCGTGACTTCGTTCGCATAAATAATAATGACTTCTGGCAAATTTTAGAATACTATTTACCTCGTCTTTTCCAAGGTATTTAGGTAAGCGATAGCCGATGTTGAATAAAGATAAAGTGGCTGTTTGTGATATTAAAACAACTGCTTTTTTACTACTCGCCATATGAACCATGTACCCACGGCTAGGTACACATCGAGCTTTACATAACCAGTATAAACTGAACGTTAAATGTGCGGAAAGATGATGCGACGCGACACCAGGATAAACTGGTTTTGTATAGATTGATGTGTGGTCGTGTATACATACGATACTATACCACCGAATAATACTTTTTGAAATATTTATCTGTCTGTCTGTTTAACTCGTCGAGTACCGGTTTTGTAGACACAATTATAGAACAATAGGTTGCGGTCACCGGTGACCGCTTGGTGTTTGACAGTTTAATCTGGCTAATCTCTGTAATGCCTTTACCGATTTGGACAGGACTTTTATTGACAGGTAGCTGTACTAAGGAGTAACTTAGGCTACTTTTCCATTGGGTCTCTGTAGGGCTGATGCCCGATATGGAGCCGCGGAAGGCCTAACGGGTTGCCGGGGATCCGGCTCGAAGACCGGGAGTTTTTTTTTTATGGGGGGAAAATCATCGAATGACTACTCCCGCCTGGGTGAGGCGGGAGGGAGTGTCAGACTCTTACTGACTAAAAACCACCCCGTTCCTTCTCCTGCACGTCGAGCCGGAGCCCCGGTTACCCGTTAGGTTCTCCGCGACAAGACCGGGAGTAGGAACGGGGTGGTGTTTAGTCAGCTGGCTCGAAGAATAGATAATAGCACCGTATTTTAGTCAGTAAGAGTCTGACACTCCCTCTCGCCTAACGCAAGGCGGTAGAAGTCATTTGATGATTTTCGACGAAGTTGCACTTACAGCTAGTATTGTATGTATATGTATAGTTAGATTGTTATACTTGCTGTAGGCCCAATTCATTCCTTCTCAGTTTCCCCAATCCCCGAATCCCGCACGATCCTCAAATTCCCAATTCTCAAAAAAAAATTCTTAAGTACTTTTTACATGTACCTATTAGACTACCTACTAGAGGCGTTACACTTGTAATCACCAGAAGGCCGGTAACGCACTTGTAACGCCTCTGGTGTTCCAGGTGTCCATGGGCCATGCCGATTGCTTACCATCAGGTTACCCATGTGGTCATTTACCGGCTTACCCCATAAAAAAAGAAGCAGTCATGCTAGCTAAGGAGGAGGCCGGACGCGTGAGAGAGCGAACGCGAGCAGGAACGAGGTGGTTTTTAGTCAATAAGAGTCTGACACTCCCTCACCTAGGCGAGATCAGTCATTCGACGATTACCCCTCTTAAAAAAAGTAATAAAAAAATCACATATAAATACTTATATAGGTATGAACTCACTGTAATTATGGGAACACAAATTTTAATTGCAATGTTATCTAACTTTATAGTATTGTAGTAGTAGTAGTATTTATAGTATGACTTTGTTCAAGGCCAATGCTTTATTGCAATATTGGCAATATACATAAATGTACTAGGTACTTAAAATATATACATTCTAGAGGTACAATAAAGATAAACTTTATATATTTAAATTATATAATTCTTACACAATCAGTCAATTGCTGAACAGCTGCAACATTATGTGCCTTCCGCATCAAGGCTCTGTAGACGGAATACATCTTTCAAATCCTAACTAATATTATAAATCGGAAAGTGAGTTTGTTTGTTTGTTGCGCTTTCACGCCGT